GCCCAACCCCACTTCTCCCCAGCTGCGTGCGGCGGAACGCGGCAGCCCCTGCAAAGCTAACCCAGGAGGAGGAGAGGTTCGGGCGCTGGGCAGAGCGCGGGGGAGCTGCCGCCCGGGGAGGGGCGCCACCGCCGGCAGCCTGAGGGCAAGGCGGTCAACCTGTCAGTGCACCGGCCGCCCCACCTGGCCCCTGGTGGGAAGACGAGGAAAGCGGGCAGAATCACTCCCGGCCTCCCTCCGTGTCTTCTCTCTCAATCTCTCTCTTCCCTCCTGCAATGCACTTTCGAGCTTTGACGGCGCCGAGGTGGAAGGCCCGGAATCGCTCATGCGCGCGACCCCCTCTCCCTTCACGGCCGGGGTCGGGCCCCGCGCGGGGGCCGGCGTGCGTGTGCACGAGAAGGGCTCTTCCCGGGCACGTCGCTCGATCGCCCCCTCGCCCCGCGTTCTAGTAACCTAGTCCGAATTGAACCTCCCTTTTTTTCCTTTACGGGGCAGAGTTTGCGCTAACACCCACAGCGAGTTTATCTAATCTGCAATCTACCTCGGGGTTGGGTGATTGTGGAGACAAAAAGTGAGGGGATCAGACCTAGGTATGGCACACTGAAATACGTGTCAAGCAAAATTGACAACGATATTCGACCCAAATGTTCCCTCCAAATACTTTTTTCACAGTTTCCTATGTACTCTATAAACCTAAGCATATTTACTCAAAAGTAAGCCCCATTAAATTCCATAGGACTTTCTCCCAAGTAAATGTGAATAGGAATGCAGCCAAAGAGCAGGCTTTTGAGCTTCACAACCTAGAACCGATCCACACAACCTGTTCATCCATCCTTCTCTCAGCTTCCTTTTATGAGTGAATCTCAGGGGCAACTGGTGCCCTCTCTGTTTCCCTCTATATAGTCCCATACACACATACACTTTAACACTCCAGAATATTTCAGTGCATGTACACTACAAATGGTGAATGCTTCTACTTCACATTCTTTAAAAATATTTATATTTTAAGTGGCATTTGGAGTGGTTTATAAATACAAAACCAAAAATAGTCAAAATTTTATTGTCAAATAAAAGCAAGCCAGCCCAGCATCATCAACATTTTAAAATATTGGAATGTTAGAAGCCAAAGCAAAAAGGACATTATAAACCCAAAGATAAAAATGCACATCAAAAATATAATGTTCTGGAAGAGGCAAGTTTTAGCCTGATGCATCAATAAGGATGCCAGGCAGATTCCCATGAGAAGGCTTGCACGTTGAAGGCTCTGTTACTGAGGCAGCTTTCTCTGAAAGCCATCTCTTCTACACTTGTGTGGAACAGCACCTCAGGGAATCCTTCTTCACAATCAAACAAGAATGCACGGGAGCAGGTAACCTCATCCTAAGTTGTTTAGACTAAGCATTGGAAATCAGGACCAGCACTGCATTGGGCACAGAAACTCTTTAGTAACCCGAGCAGTTGACACAACACGAGGATTGCTCAGCACGCTGTTCTCTCCCATCAATTCATATTGCATGCTCATCCACCAGTAATAGAAAAAGATGGGAATTACTGTTCCTGTGTACATGTACGTTTCTTCATATTGGGGATGGAAAGATCTGGGGAAATTGGAACTGACAGGTGAACTGTCCAAGCCAGAAGCATATTTAACTCTAAAAAATCCTGTGTTTGTGGGGAGCTGAATTAGGATCACCAGCTCCCCTCAACTCCAGTGGTCCCTTACCTGTAACACCCATATATCAAATACTGTAAGGTCTTTTTCTCCATGCTGCGAGTCATGTATCTACTGAACTTGGCCAGTGTCAAGTCACAGAGAGTTTCACTTCAATTAATTTCTGAAGAATTTGTCAACATCCGCTGCCTGCTCCTCATTTACAGTCAGAAAACTTTTAAAAATCCAGTTGTGCAAGAAACTCCAGTTGTGTCAGAATCATCCATACAGTCTGTTTGTTCAGTAGTGTTACATTGCCATTTCATTTTTATCGAGAGACTTTAGCATTCATACAGCAGTCAAAGTTTTACCTACTGAACCTGGCCAGTGAATTGGGGGACAATTTCATTTCAGTTCATTTTGGAAAATTGTACTCAAACTTAAAAATTGCAAATTCAAGACAAAGAGACCTTGACATTAAAAGAAAGAAAAGCAATAGAGGCTCATCGCTATGCACTCTGATACTGCATGACTAATCAAACACCATTTTGTAAATAATATCTGATAGAATAAGGCAGTTCAAATGAACCATCGTAACTTCTGAACAGGTTCTTGAATCAGGACCATATTTAGAAAACTGATTGTAAATAGTATGAATTTGCTCTGTGTTATATTTGGAGGTTAGACAGGTATTTTTAAAGATGTAATTTCTAACTGAAGAAAAAAATTCTTAACTACCACCCCCATTCATGTTTTCCCACCATTTTTGTCAGCTTGTAGTGAGTTCAATAGTTATTTTTCAAATGCCAACTAGTGTTTCCTCAAAAGGATATGATTCCTGCTTTAAGCTTTTTTTTTCTTTCAAAAATTTGAACTTGATCTATCATGGCATTTAGAAGAACTGGGACCTTAAAGATGCTTATTTTACATGGGAACATTTTCATACTGTGTGGTTGCACATGCTTACCGAAGTTTTCCATAGCCATTGTCCAAACCCCTTGCCAATACTTCAGGAAACAAATGATTCTTACTGAGGAGAATGGAGCTTTCTTCTGGGCAAGATGGTAGGTGGGGACTTCAGCCTTACCACAAGCATAAATGCCTCTGAACAAATAAAGACAGAGAGATGAGCCCCGGGATGGGGAAAGCGAGAGAGGAGTGATGGAAAGAGAGAGAAGCTGCACAAGAGGCAAAAAGAGAAGGGGGTGCCTCAGAGAGACGGGGGAAGGGAGCCACAGAGAAAATGAGTATGAAGTGTTCTTTGGTCCTTATTTCTTCCAGTACATAATTGATTTAATGAAGACAGTGAAGTAGATCTCAGGCTTTGAGCCTTTCTGTCTGAGGGCCCAGACACAGTTTGAAAAAGAGCTTGAGGTGTCCTCTTAAAAGGCATACTTGGTCTCATACTAGAGTATTCAAGAGATGTGAGGGGTTGACCATCACCCCTCCCAGTAGGTTTCCATGGTGAAGCAGAGATTTGAACTGAGGTTTCCTGAGGCCTAGTCGGACACATCATCCATTGCACAATACTGGTGTTCAGGCCCAGCTTATTCAAATTCTATGGACAAATTCTGTGGGGCTGTCAATGTAGACCTGTACGTATAGGACTATGCGCTGTTTTTGTGGGTCTTTTTTTTTGATTTGGACATTTACCTAACTACAATTGTTTTGTTATATGATATGAAAAGCTCAGAGCCAGATTAAGGAAGGGGGAATCTTTCACTGTGGACAGGTCTGGATTGATAAGGGGACCCTGGAGAGGTCTGACAGACTGCCCCCCCCCAATATACAAAAATATAAATATATAAAAAATTGTTCCTTATATTAAAATTTATACTGGGAAACAATACTTTGCCTGCAGTCATTTGTACAAGTCCCTGAATTAACCATTAAGCAAAATAAGCATGTATTTAGGGCCACAAAGGAAAGGAAGGCCCCCACAGAATTTTCAAAATGGAGGAGATTCTATCTTTGCTCTCCTCGGCTGAAGCAAAGATCTGGAGCAGATCTCCTGCTTCCTTCCACTTAGCTGGAAGGAACTGGAGATCTGCTCAAGATCTTTTCTTTAGCCGAGGAAAGCAAATACTGTATCTGGCATTTTGCAAACTCAGCAGGAGTCTTTCAGGTAGAAGGCACTACACCACCAACTGTGGTCCTCAGAGAAGAAGAGGGCTCTGAAGAAAGTTCATTATAAGTTTGTCTTTCTACTTTAGGGATCTTTCTTTTCCAGCAGGGCTTTTCCTGTGCCTATTCATGTCCCTACTCATTTCTGGATGAACCACTAAGCAAAGTAAGTATGTACATGTTTAGGGCATCAACAGGCGACACCACAGAGATTGCCCCCCCCCCCAGTGCTGGATTTACTATGACCTATGGTGCAAATGGTGCACCCTCCTTAACAAATCACATCTATCCATCCCTCAGCCTCGGCTCCCTCCCTCAAGAGCCCAGGAGCACCACTTCCCTACCTAAAGTAATTGCGTACGAATCAGAAATAACTAAAAGGTAAAGACTTGCCTAGTGAAAAAACTCAAGTTTTGAGTGAAATGATCAATCAAAATCATCATTTTTATTTTTATTTTTTTACTTGTGTATTTTGGGAGGCTGGGTGGGGATAAGGATAAAAAGAGTTGCTGGTTGTTTAGGTCCATGGCCCCTGCACTATATATGCAAGCCACAGAAGTAACATACACTGTTAAAAATGCCGCAGAAGGGGTTTTAAGTTCGTGTTTGAGCTTTTCAGTATACAGATTCTGACAAAATCTGTCTACATTAATCAAAGTATGAAGTGCAGGATTTGGCTAGAAGCCAGTAATTTGATTGTATGTATGGTTTTATATACAATATGTGCTTTTTTTTGTCACATGCTATACAATTAAATTATCATATTTTCATGCATATATTGTGCAAATTATACAATTTTTTAAGCCTTGGGACCCACCATGTATTATATTCATCTTTTCAATGCTCAAGGCCTCTAAAGGTCTTAATCTGGACCTGGGTATACTATACCAGTTTTAACCAAATTCTGACAGCTCAAGTGAACCATGCTTATGCCCTTCAGGAAGGTAGCCTATGACTGCATGTGTGTGTGACCTTATAATGACTGTATTTTCTCACTCAAGAGATCCAGTATGCCAAGGAAAATTCAGCTGCCAAGAAATGCCACTGTTTTGGCAAAGACAAAACACCTTACAGAATTTTTCTCTGCTTCAACAGTGGAAAACATAGAAACTAATGATGAAAAGCAGCTCTAGATCTCCCAAGTACATCTGCAGAAAAT